AGGCACTAGATATGTGTTTTAGATGGGATGGGGCACATAAATATAGCAGAACAAGTACTCTACCTGTTTGCACCATATCAGATAAGATAAGATCACTTTATTAGCCATATACAATTTCTTGCATTAGGAATTTTTCTTTTCACATACCCCAGCTTGCTCTCCATGAGACACAGACGGGGAGAAAAAAGCTTGGGGTCAGAGCGCAGGATCTGCAATTTATACGGCACTTCTGGAGTAGCATGGGTTAAGAGCCTTGTTCATCAGCCCAACGGAGTAGGATTCCTCTGCTGGCCACAGGATTTGAACCAGCAACCTTCCAGCCACAGGTGCAGATCCTTAGCCACAGTGTCACCACTCCACCCTGGGATACATCGGCGTAAAATCTAAATTTCCATCAGAATATTGTGTGCAAAACTGCATTGATTGTCTGGAGACGGTTCCAATCTACAGAGCTGTTTGAATTTAAAGAACAAACCGGCAGTCTTATCCGTCAGAAGGCAAAGCTTTCATTAGGGCCTTCTTTCCTCCACAAGTTCACTTCCTTGCATTGTGCAACATTTGCAAATCCACTCAGATACTGTCAAGATCCCAAAAAACAGAAACGCACCGCAGACCGGCAAGACCGGCGGGCAGCCAGCCGTGAAACCCCAAATGCGGCAGTGTTCCGCTGGGCTCCCTCCCAACCATAACCAAATACTCCCGGTTCGACCTCCATCTCTTTCCCCAAATCCCACACAGGTGTCCCGACACAGATACGCACCCCTCCCGGGCAGGGGAGCACACGGTGTGTGCCAGCGAGTCCCGCACTAATGATCTGTAAGCTGCGAGTTCACACACTGGTCAGGACTCCGGCATGTGCTTGTGAGTGTTTCTGTGTGTGCAGTGTATCTGAGCGATGGAACAGCATGTGTTTGCAACTGTACGACAGTGGCTACAAGCTTCCAGGGCTGTGCCAAGGTCACTGTCCTATCCAGAAGTTTGCAGGGCAGTTTTGGAAAGCTTATTTTCAGTTTCTGTTCATTTCGATATACACCATTTCTCCCACTCCAGCTGTCAGTCTCCATCATACAACTGTACTCCATCATACTGCTGTACTTATTTGAATTTTTAGTCTATTCTGATGTCTGTTTTTGCTTGCCTTGGCTGCTGTAACACCTCAATCTCCCTTCTGGATCAATAAAGTCTTATCTATCTGTCTACAAGCTGTGGTTTACAACTCCTACAGGAACACTGTGTTTTGTTGGAACTGCTGTGGGTTGGGGCTATCTTTCTATCCTTTTAGGCTACATTCCTGAAGTTATTCTATGTCTGAACAGAATGCTGCAGGCTTCAACATTATGCCACCCAGAACATCAAGAAGTTGTTTCTAATTTAAAGCTGCTAAGCTGACTTCTTAAGGTGTCTTCACAACTTGCAGACACACTGAAAGATATATACTACACCGAAGTCTCAAGTAGCCAGTAGGAAAGTTTAAATTCTTTGCCCATTCCTGATTTTTCAAGGTATCAGCAATCCATATCCACAACTCAAACATGTTCTCACCCTGTTTAAGAATGGGAATGTCCATGCTTTACAGAGTTTGTTTTTCCCCAGAAATTGTAGGGTTAATATTTCGTCATGCCATCTGACTGTATTAAAATCACAAGCCGTAGCAGAACACCCCCAATGCACCCACACCCGCGCACAGCTGACATTGGAGCCATGATGAATGTGGAGATTAATTCAATCCAATTGGAGACTAACAGGCCTTGCGCGCAGGCTGGGCTGTTCCTGTACCCCCATCCCACAGAGGAGGCCCAGAGGCCTGCGAGGAACTCGGATTGAGTCCTGGACTTTAATTTATTGAAAACAAACTTCCTGTCAGGGAGCGACAGCGACACAATGTAGCTAGTCAAGACCAATACATAACCAAACTGACAAAATGTGGCAGGATTTAGGCCATGCTCCACGTCTACCAAAGTCTCTGGTATTTTGACGAAGCAATGTTAAAAAGCCTTAATCTGCCAGGCCATCAATATGTTCAGCAGCGTAGTGCATTTTGGCTCATCGGTAAAGATCTCATTGATCTGATGAAGTGCTCAGCTCCAGCCAATTAAACTCCAGCTGCTCAAAGCCCTCTCTCTCACTATGGTTATCGTTCATGCTTGAATAAGCTAAGTTTGTTTAGACCTTGCACAGCTGTTAGAAAGAGACCTGTCATTACTGGAACTGGATCTTGTCAAATACTGAATTACCCTTTTAGGTGATTCTAACTGGAGAAATTATTTCCAGAGAAATGTCGGTTATATCCAATTCATGGAGAAATGAGGTGCAGGACGTGAGTGATGCAAGCATCATCTGGCACAACTGGTGTGTGTTGGGTTAACTGGGTTTGGGCAGATTTCTGGTGAAAATATGGTGATTCCTATCTAAACATTAAAAGCCCCTGTGAACCTGTCAGTTGTGATTACAGCTGGTACAGAAGCAAATGGTTACATACAATCAATAGAAACTAACAGTCAAACACCACTGTTCCAGTAACCTACTTTGTCATGAACTACAGTACATGAGGTGAACAGCAGGGGAGAATTTCAAGTGCGCTCGAAAGCTCGAAGTGTGTGAAGTCAAACGACTTTCAATTTTTGCTCCAAATTTGTCTCTGTATTAGGGTTTTCAATAACTAGCTCTCCTATCCTTCTAGGAACTGCAATTTAGAATCAATTATTGAATGTGACTCCTCACACTGCCTTCGATACTGGTAGAGATACTTAGTCCTAGGCAGGCTCTCCCACTGCAAACAATGGAGTTATACAGTATATAGTGTTTTCCCACTCCAGGATTTTTCTAGAACAACTAAGGAGACGTGCCTATCAGTCTCTTGATAATTTTTAATTGTAGACATTTTGAGTTTGCTGCCCGATTGAGATATGTGCCTTCTCTGACTGGAGCTGCCTTTCGACTTGAGGATGAACCACGGTGGCAGCTGTATGTCTGCTGGCACCTTTCTCTGCAGCTAAACATCTCAACGTGAAGGAGTTAGTCAAGAGCCTGCGTGCCACTTTGTATTTTTTCACTGATGTTCGATCATGCGGCACCAAACAGAGGGTAAGGGTTTGCCGTTTGGGGAGCGGAATACAGGCCGGTGTTACAGGGCAGGAGGGCGGCTTACTTACTCGAGCAGGCGAATTCGTGTTTCTGGACCTCTGCCACGTTGAGCCCCCGGAGCTGGGAAGGGGTGCTGCACTGTGTGAACAGCCCGATAGTGGGTCTCTGCCGCAGCCACTGGGAGAGCCAGGCCAGGTGGCAGTCACAGTTCAGGTTATTCGAATGAAGACGGCTGGGGAGAGATGGACAGACAGTCACTCGCTTCTTTCATTTTACTTTTAACAAGTTGGAGGTAAGGGCACAGTTTACCTTCTGGGCAGACTGCAGCACCGTCATGTAATTCATTTGCTACAGAGGAAGTAGCTTCCCTACAGAGGAAACTGAGGCCGAAAGCCTGCATAGGCAAACAGGTAACAAAAAGCAGACTCCTATTGAAGAGCAGTTTGATCCATTGAACTTCTGGATCTCGTGAACAATATATGAATAAAGCAGAGAATAAAACATTTTTTTCAGATTATTCTGTCTCCACGCTTGTCAACGGAAACCTTGCTTAAAATAAGGGAAGAAGCTTTCATTATCCGGTCTATACAGTGTTGGTATGTAAATACAAGAGCCCACATGTCATAAAACCGGAACCTGGGCTATCTTCTTTGAAACAGAGAGGCTTACTTCTCCCCCCGAAAATGGCATTAGAGTGGAATTTAAATATTTCCCATTATCTATGACAAACTAAACTGTGGTGGCCTGATGTTCAGTGTGGGCATGTTGTAAGTTCTGGGCAGTCAAATCAGTTATTCTTGCTGTGATTATATGAACTATGGGTAGTAGATGTTTTACTGGCTGGTTTTTACCTGTTCAGCACCCACCAAAGTCTGAAGATTGCTAGACAGTTCAGGAAAGGGGCACTACAAACAAATGGATACAATATAAAATCCCTTCTCTGCCCATGTGCGTTCTAAATGACTCCTGCCTGAACTCGCCGGAGGCTTTACACAGACAGACGAAAAACCCTGTCTGGAGTTAATTTTTTAAAAATTATTACCGTCTATTCTTATTCAATAACATTATCTTTCCACATCTTTCACAAAACCCCTGCATTCCAGGAAGGGGGAAAAAAACGTTAAAATTGCGGTAAGGCTTTTACAGCAATCACAAATATAGTTCCTTCCACCAAGACAAAAGGACAAAGTTCAGATGTTGTAGCACTAATGAAACCACTATATAGCAATTCGCTTTTTTATACTGTCATTTTCTATATTTATCCATACTACTGTTTTCTACTCCAGAGCCCCAAACAATAGCACTTTTTTGCTCGACAAGGCTCCGTCGTCCAGTATCAACTCAAGCGGAAGGAAATGGTTACTGGCGTCTGCAATCCCACTGTGGCAAGTGGCTCAGAACCAAAGCTCCCAGGAATGGCAGTGTGTGTCAGTTTGCATTTTAAGGATTTGTGGGCTTATTCCTTTCGTCTGCTTTTCAATTGGTCTGCTGAGCACTGTGTGTGAAAACGGCTGCTGGGGGCTGTGGCTGCTCACTGGGGAGACTCACTGCAGCGGGCAGTTTCGCAGAGAGCACACAAGAAAACAGGGAAAGGTTAAAAGTGGCAGGAAAAGCAGGAGCCTGTTTTTCTGCATTTTTTTAAACGCTCCAGCGCTGTTTTCTGTTATTATATCTTGGCTAGGAGAGCAATTATTCCTGAGAGTTCCATTCGGTAAAAAGAGCTCTCAAGTGAAATTTGTTTTTTATGCTTCAGAAAAATGAATTATTCAACCTTAGCTATCTATTTTGTTTTAAACAAAATGGGGAAAGGATACACACCCGAATTTACTGGGGTGTTGTCCAATGAGAATCAATCAGAAACAAACAGATTTGTCTTAAAAAAAAAACTTTCCAACTTTTAAATGCTCTTTCTTTTTTTTTTTCCCAGCGAACAACATGTTCTGCTTTCCAGACTCTGGATATAGCATTTATCGTTGCTGCCCAAAACTCATGCCATGCCCTGGGCCTCACTTTGTTTTCTGTTTCAATGTACAGAAAGGTTGGGGGAGAGAACGACAGCACCCGCTCTTATTCACTGATATAATCACAGCCCTGAACAGAGACCCTTTTCCTCTTTTATAATACATTACAGACATCGTTGAGGAGATTGCCGAAGTGTGATGGCTCCACAATATGTCTTCCATTTGCTTGAAAAGCTGAACAACTGCATAATGAGCACCCCATCTCTCGTCAACTTCAATGTTTGTATTATATTATAAAAGAGACATCTGTTCATGGTTTTGGAGTTATCGATGAATACTGTATAGGGGGCTTACAGTGAAAAAAAACAGTCACCCAGTCTCTATATACAATACATGTGATGTCTAAATGTAATAAAAGCAATGTCTATGGATGATTCTCCTGCCATGTTAAAATGAGCAAATTGGACAAATTGGACAAAGAAGCAACACTCTTGGTATACACAGCACCAAGCATTAAAGACAGCAGATTTAAATCCTACAGCATGTGGTACTATGTTTTGTGGCATATGGCAATGCCTTTATTAGATTACTGAGAATAGATGTCTTTGGATCAAACTGAAGCTTCCTTCTACACTCTGTACAATGTGTGCCATGTAATGAATGCACTCTGCTGAGCGGCTGTGGTTTCATGGACAACCTGTTCAGAGCAGGACGATGAGGTAAGAAAGGGGATCTGGGTTAAGAAAGCTGGGAGCACAACTGCCGACGGCTGGAACAGACTGCACGCTGCACCATGAGGAGCTGTGTAGCATCTCACATGCATGTTACTCACAAGGTTCGGAGCTTTGGCATGTGGTTGAAGCTGGAGACGGGAATGCTGCTGATGTTGTTGTTATTCAAAGTCCTAGAAAATATGGGACAGAGAGAAACGATTTAATAACTCCTCATCCCCGGGGCTGCAAAGCTACTGCAAATCAGCTTTGGGGTGGACAGGTGAAACAGCCAATCATCTCCTTCTCATATCCCCACAAACTGCTGTGCACAGTAAGCTCTCCTGCTCCCACTCTCCCACCAGCTCACCACAGTGATGCTTCCTGCAGACAATCTCAGTAGCATAGCAGTGTCCTGGGTAGCAAAGGAGAGCCAAAACTATAAAAACCTGCAGCACCTCTGGCCTCTATAAAAAACCCCAAACACTACATACTGTGCCTGTATGTCAGGTATCATGTGACCGAAATCTCACATATATAAAATGAAATTCTAAGATTTTTTAACTGACTCAAAACTACCTTCTCTGTAGTTATTGGTAAAAATAGGAAATTGCAAACAGGTCTAGAGCAGAATAGCAGGAGATAACAAACTTTTTTGTAAGTAATAACTTTAAAGAGTTGGGAGTATTCATGTTGTAAACTTCCAGAAGGTCCAGATCGAAGGTAATAATTTCTGAAAGAATCTAGTTTAAATAGGGTCTGGAATGTACAGGAATTCATAGTAGGTAGCACATTAAAAATGTTTGTTCTTTCCTTTAAAAAAGTGTGAAGAAATAACCAGAAAAAATCACTGATATAGCAAAGTTTACTCTAAAAACACTATGATGAGGTACAGTACTGTAATATATTTTTTCTTACATCTAATGTACTTTGCAATTTAACCTATTGAGGAACCTTAAAATCTACAGTCATGGCATCTACCTATAATTTTAATACAGAAATACTGTTTCAACAATTACAGCATTCATTCTATAAACAGTGCAATGAAAGCTACAAAGTAAATCAACTAATAGCTTATCCCAGGGATAGCAGCAAAGACCAGCACACTACTATGAATACAGGGTGATTAGAGAGAAAGTTTACCACATGAATGCACCACATTCCAAGAATGGACAAAGAAAAGTAAATTGCATGCAGTTTGGAAGAGAATTATGGAGACACAAATACTGGCATTCATAGTTGTTGTCAGTGGGAAGCGCCACGATGGTTACTGGTATGTAGTTCCATATTTCAGCATTGTAGATATAAATAATCCTGTTGCTTGATAGGCAACTCAGCAGGGGCGCCTTTTTTCCACGGGGGTGGGAGAAAGGTTTGTTCATATGTACAAATTCAACAGAAGTTAATTCCATGCTAAAATATAAATAGTAATAGCCTGGGGTCTGGCTCGGTTCTCGGACTGGCCCGATACTCACAGCACCTCCAGCCCCCTCAGCGCTCGGAACGCTCCGTCTTCGATGCAGGCGATGTGGTTCTTGTCTAGCTGGCTGCACAGACACAGAGGAGACAGGACAGCGTTAGAGCTAACCTGGGGACGAGCCCATGGGCTTGAACATTGCCCAGGTGAGCCAAGGTGCACGTGTGTAGACATTTAGGGCAAGAAAAACAATGTTTTGAACCTGTATCTTAATGAACAGAACCTTAAACATTTTTATTTAAACTTATTTGATGTTGGACAGCAACAATAAAAAAGAAATAGTAAGATAAATAAATAATAACTTTATTGGCCTTATACAATTTCTTGTATTAGGAATTTGTCTTTTCACATACCCCAACTTGCTCTCCATGAGACACATGGGGTCAGAGTGCAGGGTCAGCCATTTATATGGCACCCCTGGAGCAGTTGGGGTTAAGGGCCTTGCTCAGGGGCCCAACGGAGTAGGATTCCTCTGCCAGCCACAGCATACAAATCGGCAACCTTCCAGCCACAGGCACAGATCTTTAGCCACAGAGCAACCGCACCACCCCAGACGAAATAATAACTACAACTGAAAGCAGCTTTGAAGACCTCTAGGCTTGTTCCGACCAAGTAAAATGATGCAGCAGTAAGGGTTAAAAATGAAGAAGATGGTAGTTACAAATTTTGATTAATTTGTTTTAAAACCAGTTAAAAATACGGACTGAGTAATAACAGTTGTTGTTATGAAACACTTCAAGGAATGTGGCATTTTTTGTAGAATAAATGTTACATGTTAGATTTATTGAGACTTCAGGGAAGAATCACTGACATCTGATTCCTCCGCCATTAGACAGGCCTTGGCCTCTGAGTTGAAATACTTTTCTTAGCTTTTTAGCGAGAAATGTGCATCTGCTTAATGTCAACAACACCAATTGAACCCTTACAAAACACTTGTAAGGGTTCTGTTTCAAATGTAAGGGTTCCCATTTGAAACTTTTCTTCTGTTTGTCTGTCCTTTATACAAGCAGAAGAAAAGTTTCAAATGAGAGGAGGCCATTCTGCTCATCTAGCCCATTAAGTAGTTTGTAGTTAACTTGATCCAAGGATCAAATCCAGGTGTTTGTTGAAAAAAATAAGGAATCGGCTTCAAAGACATGGCTGGGTTGCCTGTTCCATACTCCCACAACCCTTTGGCTATAGAAGTGTCATGTAGCTTCCAATTGTACCTACTTGTTCATATTTCACTGTTCATTCTAAAGAAGTCTGCTGGGCTGACTTTATCAATGCCTTTGGGGACTTTTTGTAGCAATAATCTCCTCAGTTTGAGACTAAAGAGATTCATTCCTTGAACCTGTCAATGTAGGACATGCCCTTAAGCACAGCAATGTATCTAGATGTGCTTCTCTGGACTGATTCCAGAGCAGCAATATGTTTTCTATAAAGCGGTGACCAAAACTTTACACAATATTCTAAATGAGGTTTAACTAGTGCCTTATGCATTTTTAACATATCATTCCTTGATTTGAATTCTATTCATTTAACTATATATTCTAATGTTATGTTAGCCTTTTTCATTTGATTGCCCAATGACTGTCTACCTGGGATTATGTGCTTAACTGATGTGAAGCACATTAAAATAAAATAAGGATACAAATGTTTGTATGAGTGGAAATGTGAGGAGACAGATATCTGTTTCAAACATCTTCTTCCACCTATTGAAGGCTGTACTACTTAAATTTAATAATAACCACGAGAGGGAAGTAAAGGTTATTGATTTAAATAATAATAATCACTATTAGAGTAATTAATATTACACATAGGTTAAACATGCAACATTTTAAGTTAACTGACTAACCAGTTTATTCAGCAGCTTTTGATTAACTCACTGTGCACCCATTTGTTATGAAATAGAAGTTGTATTTAACAAGGCCGTTTTTAAATTTCAGAATACTGTAGTCATCAAACAGCCATCTCAGCTTACACAGGAATACCATTTTAAAAGTTTTTAATTATATTTGCTGAAGGATAACTGCAAGGTCTGGATTTAATTGACTAAAAGGGTTTTGAACAGAAGCTGTTTAAACTTGTGGTTGCATTCCTATATTTCAATGTCTATTTTTGGAATGAAATTTATCATAGCACTTTTGAATCAGTGAGTCTATTACAAGTTTTGCAAAAGACGTGTTTAAAAGATTTTTTCTAAATGTAGCTCAGATCATCTTTTTTTTAGATGGTGCAATGTTACTGTCAGTAGAATTAACTTCTGCAATTGTTGTCCTAGTCAATTAGCAAGTGCCCAGGATGATATCTGCTCATTGTCAAGCAGATTAGTCATACAGGGATCGATCATAATCACTTACAATGCATGGTTCTGGCTTACATTAACCGTGTATAATATTTTAATAGTTCTTTTCAGAATGATGCCTATTGATCAGGGACTAAATAGTTTTAGAAGTTGGAAGTTTACAAAATGTTTTGATCAGTTTCAATGCGTATGTTTTCTTAAGCCAGACTATAGTTTTGAATCCTATAGGTCTGAATCCTATGCCTGCTAAATCTGTTTAGTTATCTAAACCTTTGTGAGCAGGAGTAGTTTGAAACTTGAGAGTAAAAAGCAGTGATGCCACTTTAATGGCATAATTTTCACTAGAAAGATACCAAATTTGCAGTGCATTGGCTTAATATTTTTTGGTATAGGAGAACCTCCTGACAGTAATGTGATGACCCAGTGAACATACTGTAAATATCACAGCAACTTATGATTTGCAAAATAATTTGTCTTTGATAGTTGAATGAATCTGCCAACTTTCATTTTAATCGGCACAGCAGTTCCAAGAAAGATTTTGAAAAGGCTTTCTGAATACACAAATCAGTCCACCATCTTGCTTAAAACAAACCCCCAGTTTTTTCACAGCTTTAATGGCTTATATGTATCAGATTCTTCAAACTAAATCTGAAGCTGCTCAGGTATCCAGTCATTGTCCAGGTTCACAGTGAAACTGGGGGAAATAATTAAAAGAATATTGTTTGCAAACATTATAAGCTACCATCACATGGAAGCCAGAAACTTAAAAGAAAATAAAAGAATAATTCAATAAGTCACCACAGGCGTCCAGTCTTGGGAGGCTAATAATATTACAGATTATTCCACGTAAAACAAATCAGCTTCAAAACAAGTATTCCACAGTTTTCCCATGTGCTGTGGGTTGACTATCATAGTAATGAGTCATACTTCTATGTAATCATTTGCATCAGAGTTTGTCTGATGATGAACAAGACCAAGTTATGAAATACATAGGTTTTGTCACCTCTATTTTGTTCCTTGTATTTACTGCATTTTTTTCATGTCAGAGCTGCACAGTTTAATTTAATGCAGTTTCACATTATTATAAAAAAATACAGAAACATATTTCTTAGAGTTAAATCAGAAGCAGTTCTTGAATGTGGACCAATGTTGATATGTAAGGACCATATGGCACTGAACAGGACGCCAGTGGAATTTAAGCACAGAAAACTCCACCGCGCTGGTGGGTCTTGGAACAAAGTGTTTGATCATGTTATTGTAGATGATTCACTGAGATCCACCATGACATGGCTGGATGCAATTCCCATATCTGTACATTTCAAAACAAGAAAGACAGTAAAAAGGGCTTCTGATAAATAATGTATTTTCTCATGTGTTCACTCAGTGCTCTTCATGGAAAGTTGTGAGTAAGCAGTGTGTGATGATATGCTCAGCTCGGTTATTGACTGCTATGGGCCTTCTCTCCATGCTGCACGAGCTGGGCTTTACAACGACTGCAGCTGCTCTCGCCCCTCGCGATGAAGCTTGCGTTGCTTGTCTGCAAGGCGGGGTACTCACAGGTTCTTGATGTCTGTGGCTCCTCGGAAAGCCTTCCTGGGGATGGCCTGGATGAAGTTCTCACTCAGGTCCCTGTGGAAGGGGCAGGTCTCATTTTATCACCTGCTCAGAAACCACGTCTTCTGTACACACATGCTTAAGAACAGACTACCAGTCAAGTAACTGGGAAGAACATTTCAAAGTCACAATGCCACTCAGGAGCAGAAATGACAAAGTGCTCAGTGCTTATTAAGGTTTCAACCTGAAAGCGAAGAAGGGTTACAATTACTTACAAATTAATTTGAATTACTGTTAAGGGATTGCAGCCAATAACACTCAGCCTTTAAATAATTAACAGCAAACACTTAATTTGTACTTCATTTTCAGGCTACTCTGAACTTAATAGATTTTCATTTGAAGTTGGCAAGCATCATGGCAGTGATTAGCATTAATGCCCCTCAGTGCTGGGGCCCTGGATTCAATTCCTGGGGTGCTGTCTGTGGGGGGTTTGTATGTTCTCCCATGTTCATGGGGGCTTTCTCTGGGTGCCCCAGTTTTCTCCCACGGTCCACAGACATACTGGTAGGTTCATTGGCTTTGGGGAAAATTGGTCCAGGTGTGAGTGTCTTTACAGTATGCCCTGAAAAGGGCTGGCATCTATCCTGTCTTGCTCCTGTTGTTTGCTGGGATAGTCTCTGGCTCTCCCATAATATTGCCTTGGATAAAGCAATTAGAAAATGCTTGGAATGATTATTGTCAACAAATTATATATTTATGTTTTACAGTGTATACTATTTTGCTATTAATGTATGGTATAGGACCTATATATAAAAAATTAAATGATAAATATAATATATATACATAAATAAATATAAAGAGGTAGTGGCTTCAGTAATTGTTGAAAGCTATAAAGCAACACATTGTGACAACTGTGCATGGGTATAAATATTTTTGTAAGGACCTGTATGTTATACCTGTTGGAAATTAAAATGTATCCAAATGACATTTTACTGAAGAAAACCTATATGTTTCCTGTGCAAAAGTTTATGTCTGTTATAAAGAAAGTAAACTTGAAATATCACCATGAAACATGTCATCTGGAGCTTAACCAGTCTCACCCACATGGCAATAATTTAGGAAAACATTTCACAGGGTCAAAATCTGTTTCAATCACAGTTCAAGGACAGCAATATTTACTGAAAGATTAAAAAGGCAGGTCACCTAGCAAAAAACCACAAGGCATTCACAGAAGGAGACCTGATGATGCCTTACCCACTGGATCAGAGCTACTCTCTTTGTAGAATTCAAAAGCAAATATGATTTTATAAAAGTGCTCTCCAAATTCTGAGTGTCAGGTTCACCAGTAGCGAGGCATGTGCTATTAAATAAGTCTACTGATCTGTCTGAAACTTCTTGTCAGAGAAATGCTGCATTGATCTGTTGTTGTTCGATAATGGTGTAATGCGATATCTGATCGTGCATCACCTTGAGTTTCAAGGGGTAAAATCTGGTCTGCATGATTGACTGATGCATCAATATTTGACACTAAACTGGTTGTTTTTGTAAGCCAGCTTTGTGAGTGTCTTGACACACCTGTCCTGGGAGATTCAAGAGTAATACAATGACCTTTTTTCCCAGAACCCTGCGCAACATATCTTCCTGCGATGTCTGGAGAATACTCCTCTCAATTTTCTGACATGAAAGCCGTGCCATTGAAATCTTTTTGTTTTGAAAAAAACTTCTTTCAGTGCAGATTTTGTACAAAAAGTCTGACTTTCAGAAAAAAAAATAGTATTGTACCAAAGTAATATTTTAAAGGCTATTACTATGTGAAGCCTAAAACATCCTGGATTTGCTACTGTACAGTTTAACTGTAACATGTGAAACATACCCTTCAGCTGTCCAGAGTGAAAGGAATGTTTTATTCCACTTTAGAGCACACTTTTATGAATGGGTACACTCAAATTGAAACTTGGAACATGTTTTTTTCTAAATGGTTAAATGAATGCAGGCAAAATCATCACATTAATGGTCAACTTCTCATAAATTTGATAATAATGGACATTAACCTCTGTAATTCACAAGTTGCTTATTTTGTTGTTTCATACCCCAAAAGATCTTGGCATATGAATTTGGTCAATGTTCAACTTTGCAAAGCGAATAGAATAAACTACTTTAATTAGGGACTTTTTCAAAGGCCAAAGTTCATTGCAACTTCCTGAAAGAATTTGTTACAAAATAAAACATTGTATTAAATACCACAATAAAGCAAACAAAGTTAAATTTCTATTGTCATCACTCACTTCGAATGCCATTGTTTTGCAGCCTCCAGCGTCAGAGTGAGTGTTCCATGTGGCCAAACAGTGTCATTGAAGTTGAATTCTACTGTGATGTTGCAATGTACTGCAGAGTTAACATTTTTATTCCATTTCGAACAGCCCCTGTTCTCCTTCAGATAGTGTTTACCACCTTCACACTCACACATTTTTCCACACACACACACACACACACACACACACACACACACACACACACACACAGGGGCTCCAGTTTGGGGAACCCATTGATAGTGAGGGGTCAACCTTATTTAGAGGCACACACGCACAATGGCGATTAACAGGGGGTGGTATGCAGAAAGAGAGGGAGGGAACCATTGCCAGTTTGGGTTTTTAATTAGTACCCGCTTTTGACTGGGCACCAGAGTGAGCTCATTGCTTCCCAAGAGGTGGCTAGTCTCACGCTCCACCCCCAGGACCTCCTGCAGAACTGGAAACAACAAGCCCTCCATTGCAGCCTTTTGAACAGACCGTACACAGGTTGACTGAACCGTGCAAACACAGTGAGGCACGGCTGATGCAGCTGACATTATACTCACTCTCATGACAGTTGCACACAAATTGCTTGCCCAACAATAGTATAGCTACAGACAAACCCACTCACCCTGCAATACATTCAGCACAACTGCAAACACACACTGGTTCACTAATCAAAGCAGTGACACTGAACACACCTGCGCGCACACACACTGGTTCACTCAACAATGCAGTAAAATAGCCTGTAATGCACTGTAAAATTTTCACCCGTTTTTCTGACTCCAATAACCCAGCTGACGTTCTCATTAGCTGCTGTATGGCTTGCTTAATGTTACAAAATCAAGGTTCAAAAGAAAATGATTTTGTGACCATTTCTGATCACCCTGTTGTTAGCTTTGCACTTTTAACCTTTCGTTACTTTCCAGAAAAGGGCAGCAATTTTTTCTCTAAAGCAAAAGGCAAAACAACCTGTTTGTACAAGTAGTGTCTAGTCATTGGCTTGTGGCATAATACTGTAGGTGTTGTTGTTCTCATCATCCTACAAACATCAATGCATTTTCAGCATGATATTAATTATGGAAGGGAAATAAAAGATAAAAGGCAAACTGTCACTTTGTACAAACTGCAGTGAAGATATGAATTATAGTGACAATACAACACGCTTCCCACATTAAACATCCCTTTGGCAAAACAGAAGAAGGAAAACAAACAGTTTGCTTGACGCCAGGTCGAAGTGTTTGTCTCCTGAACTTTCCCAGAGCTATATTCGGTCATTTGAGGTTATGAGGGCATTACCACATGACCTCACACAGCAGCTTGTAGCACTTTTCCCTTAGGATTTCGTGGAGAAGGGCAAACACGGAGTTTGCCATCACTGCTGGGAAATGTGGAACCTTCCATGAGAGAGTTTAGAATAACATGTCCTGAGTTTGTTCAAGTGGTAAAGGCCTTTGCTCAGAGTGCAGGATGACTCTTCAGACCAAACAATTTAGTGAATGAGCATTTTGCCCAGTATGACTGGGATTCCCCAACTGGTGGTCTGCAGCTGGTTGACTGCCACCCAGTCTGGTTGGATTTAAAGAGTTTCCTGGAATTCTGTGCAGCCGGGAGCTCAGCAGCTTTCCTATCCACCTGTGAGCTGGTCACGGGGATCACAGGAGATCTCCTCAGTGTGAGACCTGATAGTCTTGCAGTTGATGTTAAACCAAATGTGTTTGCATTGTGGGAAGGAACATGGCACATTTTGGAGAACTTGTGCATGTGGGCCTACTATAGCATCCATAAGTGACGCAGGGGTTGGCTGAGTTGAACTGGCAATTCAAATCTGACCCATATCTGAAAAGAAGCAATTAGCTATTTTACATAAAGGATAAAAAAGAAAGAAATATCTCATGGGCATTAGTGTGCCAGAGTAAGAGTGAGACTCCAGTATGTTTACTGGCAAAAGGTGTGCTGCAGAATATAAACAGAGCCTTGTACTGCACATAATTAATCACGTTTTTATGAATTTTATAGCTACCCCTCCTGTGTCTGGTTCAGTTTAAATTTTACTAACACTATTTCTTGCACTATAAACTACTGTTTCATACCAGCTGTGGAAACATTTTGCACACATGCGTTTTTCTCAGATGGTAAGATCATTCTATTTATTAAAACAAAGACCCAAAACAGTTTCCATGTTACACACCCTTTATTATCACTTTTATCTCAGGATTTTGTTTTGACAGTGCCAAGCAATTTAATGTCAGGCTTGGAGAGAGTGCCAATACTGCCGACAAACATTCATATAAAAAATAGTCTTTCATTATGCTTTCCTCAGACAGGAGGAGATTCTCACTTGAGGGCACGAGCACACTCCAACCTGACCTGGGTCAACAAGGAGGAAAAGATGACATCATTAAAGCCTACAGATGAATGGAGCCTACAAGAGTCTCACTGCTTGGCCCTCCACTCCCAGTCACAAAACTGGGCCTTCTCACTACTCAAAGCCCAGGCCCGATGGGCCTCAGAGGTCAAGAGGGAGGCTCTTGTCATACTAAGTCCCAGTAGGTGGTCTGGCATAGCACTCCGCTATTCCACTGGCCATCTGTACCCACTTACACCCTGTACTCTGGGCATGCTTCGGAGTGTGTTTTTTGTGTGCTCGATAAGGGTACAAGGAGAAATAGGTAGGGATGCACTTGAAGTGGTCCGTGCTGAAACTGCAGCATGACTGAATCAGCAGCATAAGCCTCTCCTAATCCTTTTAGCACGCTCTAAAACGATTGGCTAGGGTTTACA